CCTGGAGCAGGGCTTTGGACCCTCTAGAGGGGCATGGTCTGTGGGTTCCCAGGCAGGCAAGAAGGCCGAGCTGGCCCTAGCTGGCTTGGCTCAGTGGATAGAGCATCAGCCTGAGGACCGAAGAGTCCTGGGTTCAATTCTGGTCAAGGACACATACCTGGGTTGCAGGCTCCTCCCCAGCCAAGGCCCAAAGATGTGTTTCTCTCACATCAATGTTCCTCTCTTTCTCTCTTCCACTCTCCCTAAAACTCAATGGAAAAATATCCTGGGTGACGGTTCACAACAACAACAAAGAAGAAGGTGAAGCTGCTGGACCCTCATCCCCACACAGACAGGGCTGGTGCCAGAGGCTGAGCAGGAGACATCGGGTCAAAACCCAGGAGGCCTTGGGTCCTGGGGTCCTAGAAACACCTAGCAGTGCTGAGGCATCCCAGCTCCCCACCTCTGTCCACCCTCTGCCTCTGGCTCCGGCTGCCCTGGGCCCTGAACCTTGTGAGGAGCTGACCTCCCGGGGCCAGCGTCATTGACCCACAGGTGCACTTTCTGGAGGGGACAGTCAACACCTTCTGGATGGGTAAACAGAGGCACAAGCCAGGCCCAGCTGCCCCTGTGTGTCCATCCAGGCTGGGTCAAATCCTGAGAGTGGAGGATCACCAGGGGAGCCCGTGGGGCCTGTGGGAAAATCCTGGACGGGAGGATGGATAGATGTGGGGTGAGGCAGTGTGTGGCTGCCCCAAACTTCAGGGGAGCCTCGCATATATTCTGGCTTCCGTCTGGGCCTCAGATGTTCATAGGCATTCAAGACCAGAGTGGCTCTGACTCCTTGCCCACCTGCAGCCTGCTCACCAGGGGTCACTCAGGGCCAGCCCTGTGCCCAGGACCCCTGCCCCTCGGCCCTCACAGCCTCCCCCTGAGGCCATCTCAGCCTATCCTTCGGCTCCCACTGCACTGCCCCAGCCTCTGTGTCCCTGCAGCTTGGCCCCTGGCCCAGCCCCATGAGCAGCCACCCAGAGCCGGGACCCACCACCACAGGCCCAGGCCCCTGGGGGTCACAGCCCAGGCCACATGCACCTGGCCTCGCCACAGACAGACCACAGACCAGACATGACGTGCAGAAGGGCAGCTGAGACTGGTGGGACAGGAAGTGGCGAATGACCCCATCTAGGGTCATGACACAGTCTGAAGCCCCTCCCCAGGCTGCCCCTTAGCATCAGCCTTCTGTAGAGCGAGCAAGGGCCAGCAGGGCAGGGGTCTCTGAGCACACAGATTCAGGCAGGGCCAGCTGGTCAGGGGGCCTGGGGCTCTCGGCCTCTAACCCTCTAGCAGCCTTGAACAGGTGGGTCCTGGATGCTGCCCCATCCCCTCCTCCATCAGGCGCTCCGATCCTTCCTGGGACCAGGGATATGGAAAACAGGCACCGAGACAGAGTAGAAAGAAACAGCAGGCGGGACCAAGAGCCAGAGGACCACAGGGCAGTATGCTCTACCCGACCTGGGGAGGTGCTGGGGTATTGTGGCCTAGGCTGAGCGGAGCTGAGCTGGGCTGAACTGGCCTGAGTGAACTGGGCTAAGCTTGTCTGGGTGAACTGGGCTGACCTGGGCTGGGCTGGGCTGGGCTGGGCTGGGCTGGGCTGAGCTGGGCTGAGTGTACTGGACTGAGCTGGGCTGAGCTGGGCTGAGCTGGGTGAACTGGGTTGAGCTGGGCTGAGCTGGGCTGAGCTGGGCTGAGCTTGGCTGGGCTGAGCTGGGTGAACTGGACTGAGCTGGGCTGAGCTGGGTGAGCTGGGTTGAGCTGGGCTGGGCTGGGTGAATTGGACTGAGCTGGGCTGGTCTGAGCTTGGCTGGCCTGAGCTGGGCTGAGTGTACTGGGCTGAGCTGGGCTGGGCTGAGCTGAGTGAATTGGGCTGAGCTGGGCTGAGCTGGGTGAACTGGGCTGAGCTGGGTGGGCTGAGCTGGGCTGAGTGTACTGAGCTAGGCTGAGCTGGGCTGAGCTGGGTGAACTGGGTTGAGCTGAGTGAACTGTGTTGGGCTGGGCTGGTCTGAGTGACCTGGGCTGAGCTAAGTGAACTGGGCTGAGCTTAGTGAACTGGATTGAGCTGGGCTGGGCTGAGTGAACTGGGTTGAGCTGGGCTGGGCTGAGTGAACTGGGTTGAGCTGGGCTGGGCTGAGTGAACTGGGTTGAGCTGGGCTGGGCTGAGTGAACTAGGCTGAGCTAGGATGAGCTGAGTGAACTGGGCTGAGCTGGGTGAACTGGGTTGAGTTTGGTGAACTGGGTTGAGCTGGGCTTAGCTGAGCTGAGCTGGGCTGGGTTGAGCTGGGTGAACTGGGTTGAGCTGGGATGAGCTGGGCTGAGCTGGGCTGAACTGGGCTGAGCTGAACTGGGTTGAGCTGGGCTGAGCTGAGCTGAGTGAACTGGGCTGAGCTGGGCTGAGCTCAGCTGGGCTCAGCTGGGCTGGGTTGAGCTGGGTGAACTGGGTTGAACTGGGATGAGCGGGGATGAGCGAGGCTGAGCTAGGTGAACTGGGCTGGGCTGGGCTGAGTGAACTAGGCTGAGCTGGGATGAGCTGGGTGAACTGGGTTGAGCTGAGCTGAGCTGGGCTGAACTGGACTGAGCTGAACTGTGTTGAGCGGGGCTGAGCTGAACTGAGTGAACTGGGCTGGGCTGAGTGAACTGGGCTGAGCTGGGCTGAGCTGAGTGAACTGGGCTGAGCTGGGTGAAATGGGATGAGCTGGGCTGAGCTAGGTGAACTGGGCTCGGCTGGGCTGAGTGAACTAGGCTGAGCTGGGATGAGCTGAGTCAACTGGGCTTAGCTGGGCTGAGCTGGGTGAACTGGGTTGAGCTGAGCTGAGCTGGGCTGAACTGGACTGAGCTGAACTGTGTTGAGCTGGGCTGAGCTGAACTGAGTGAACTGGGCTGGGCTGAGTGAACTGGGCTGAGCTGGGCTGAGCTGAGTGAACTGGGCTGAGCTGGGTGAACTGGATTGAGCTGGGCTGAGCGGGGCTGAGCTGGGCTGAGCTAGGTGAACTGGGCTGGGCTGGGCTGAGTGAACTAGGCTGAGCTGAGTGAAATGGGCTGAGCTGGGCTGAGCTGGGTGAACTGGGTTGAGCTGGGCTGAGCTGGGCTGAGCTGGGTGAACTGGGCTGGGCTGGGCTGAGTGAACTAGTCTGAGCTGAGTGAAATGGGCTGAGCTGGGCTGAGCTGGGTGAACTGGGTTGAGCTGGGCTGAGCTAGGTGAACTGGGCTCGGCTGGGCTGAGTGAACTAGGCTGAGCTGGGATGAGCTGAGTCAACTGGGCTTAGCTGGGCTGAGCTGGGTGAACTGGATTGAGCTGGGCTGTGCGGGGCTGAGCTGGGCTGAGCTAGGTGAACTGGGCTGGGCTGGGCTGAGTGAACTAGTCTGAGCTGAGTGAAATGGGCTGAGCTGGGCTGAGCTGGGTGAACTGGGTTGAGCTGAGCTGAGCTGGGCTGAACTGGACTGAGCTGAACTGTGTTGAGCGGGGCTGAGCTGAACTGAGTGAACTGGGCTGGGCTGAGTGAACTGGGCTGAGCTGGGCTGGGCTGAGTGAACTAGGCTGAGCTGAGTGAAATGGGCTGAGCTGGGCTGAGCTAGGTGAACTGGGCTGGGCTGGGCTGAGTGAACTAGGCTGAGCTGGGATGAGCTGAGTCAACTGGGCTTAGCTGGGCTGAGCTGGGTGAACTGGGTTGAGCTGAGCTGAGCTGGGCTGAACTGGACTGAGCTGAACTGTGTTGAGCTAAGCTGAGCTGAACTGAGTGAACTGGGCTGGGCTGAGTGAACTGGGCTGAGCTGGGCTGAGCTGAGTGAACTGGGCTGAGCTGGGTGAACTGGGTTGAGCTGGGCTGAGCTGGGTGAACTGGGCTGGGCTGAGTGAACTGGGCTGAGCTGGGCTGGGCTGAGTGAACTGGTCTGAGCTGGGCTGACCTGAGTGGACTGGGCTGAGCTGGGCTTGGCTGGGCTGGGCTGAGTGAACTGGGCTAAGCTGGGCTGAGCTGAGTGAACTAGGCTGACCTGGGTTGAGCTAGGTGAACTGGGTTAAGTTTGGTGAACTGGGTTGAGCTGGGCTGAGCTGAGCTGAGTGAACTGGGCTGAGCTGGATGAACTGGGCTGGGCTGGGCTGAGCTGGCGAATGGGAGGAGGTGGGTTTAGTATGCATCACTTGCAGAGCCGGTTCCCCACCCAGGTGCCTCTGTGTTTCCCGGGCACATGAAGGCCATGCAGTCTCAGAGGTGCCTGTGCCCTCTATGCTCCCACCAATGTCCCTGAGGGAATCGGGAACAGACAAGGGTGGCCTGTGTGCCCAGCTTGTCTGGGTGGGACACCTCACATGGCTGGTTTGGTTGAGTCTCTGAGTTTCATAGGCCCTGGAATGGACCTCTGCTTGCTGGGCCTGCAGTTGTTTGCAGAGGGTGTGGCTAGACTGGACTCTGATGAGGGAACTCTGAGCGGCCCACGGAAGCCCAGCCCCTCTCCTCTGTGTGTGCCCTCCAGCATAGCAGGTTGGTCCTCAGGACAGGCCAATTACAGGACCAGACCCCTTGGTGCTTCCCTGTGTCCCTCTCTGGGCCCACCTTTCATGATCCCCAAACTCTGAGAGACATGGCCACGCCCACTGCACAGAGAGATAGGAGGCCCCATTGGGGCCCACAGACCCAGCTGGTCTGTGGAGAGCCATATGGGTAATGTGGCTCCACCCGCACGAGGCCTGTGTAAGGAGTGTGTCCTGGTCCACGAGCCGGAGCTCTGAGCAGCGTGTCCAGAAACTGCAGCTGGACTTGGCGGCCAGTCCCCGCCCTGGGTGCCAGCCTTCAGGCTGAGTGACCTGGGGCCTTCATTCGCCCTCCCGGGGCCTGTTTGCCTGGGGCAGAGGCGGTGGGCTTCATCCTCTCTGCGTGGGGCTTCCAGGGCTCTCACAGCATGTCTTGTGTTGCAGCGAAGCAACCCACACTCTTCCCACTGACCCTCCGGAGCACTGAACCGGCCGACCCAGTGGTCATCGGCTGCCTGGCCCAGGACTTCGTACCATCAAAGCACACGAACATGACCTGGGACAGCAGCAGGCCGGGCACTTCCATCAGCACTGTCCTCCCCATGTTCACCTCCCGGGGCCTCTATGCCATGGTCAGCCAGCTGACCCTGCCGGCCAGCCAGTGCCCAGCGAGCGGGACCCTGAAGTGCCACATGCAGTACAACTCCAGCCTGAGCCAGACCAAGGACGTGCCCTGCAAAGGTCAGAGGTCTGGCCAGGGTGGGGTGGGGGCCATCAGGTTTTTATGGTGGAACCACCACACCCACTGGGGCTCCCCTCACACTGAAGGGGGCGAGGACGAGGCTGGAGCAGGAGGAGGGAAGGGGTGCGGGCCATGGGCTCTGAGTCCTCCGCCTCCCTTCAGTTCCCTCGAAGCCGACATCCTCATGCTGCCAGCCTGGCCTGACCCTGCGCCCACCGGCCCTTGAGGACCTGCTGCTGAGCTCCGATGCCAACCTGACGTGTACGCTGAGTGGCCTGAGAGAGCCCCAGGGTGCCAGCTTTGCCTGGCAGCCCACGGGTGGAAAAGAGGCCATCCAGCAGGCCCCGCAACGCGACCCCTGCGGCTGCTACAGCGTGTCCAGCATCCTGCCGGGCTGCGCTGAGCCGTGGAACCGCGGGCAGAGGTTCTCCTGCACCGCCGCCCACCCAGAGGTCACCAGCCCGCTCACCGCCACCATCGCCAGAGCCTCAGGTGGGTCGGGCCCCGCCCCAGGGGCACCCACGCAACCCACGGTGGGCCAGGGATCCCCCTAAGCCTGCCTGCTTTAACCACCCCTGGCATCCACTCACATTCTGCAGAGGGAAACTGGGCTCAGGGTACCCTGCGGGCAGAGGGGCTCTCTCCTCCCTGCCTGGCTTTGACCGGCTCCTCTGCCCCCAGGGAGCACCCTACCCCCCAAGGTCCACCTGCTGCCGCCACCCGCGGAAGAACTGGCCATCAATGAGCTGGCAACGCTGACGTGTGTGGTTCAGGGCTTCTACCCTGAAGACGTGCTGGTGCGGTGGCTGCACGAGAGCCAGGAGCTTCCCCGAGAGAAGTACCAGACTTGGAGGCCCCTGCCCGAGGCCGGCCAGGGTGGCACCAGGTTCATCACAACTAGTGTGCTGCGTGTGGACATGGAGGCGTGGAAGAACGGGGACAACTACTCCTGCATGGTGGGCCACGAGGCTCTGCCCCTGAGCTTCACACAGAAGACTATCAACCGCCTGGCGGGTAAACCCACCCACGTCAATGTGTCTGTGATCATGTCCGAGGTGGACGGCATCTGCTACTGAGCTGCCCACCCCCACCTGCCCCGCCCTTGAATAAACTCCGCTCGCCCGAAGCAGCCACCATCCCTCCAGCGCCTGTCTTGATCCTCTCAGTTGAGCACTTCAAGGTGGCCTCACACAAGTGCGCTTGTATGTGTGTGTGAGTGTGAGTGCATGAGTGTGAGCACATGGTGCACAGTGGTTGAGGCCAAACTGGAGTGAAGCCTGAGGCTGGCAGAGTCTTGGGAGGCACAGGGGGTCCTGAGGGCAAGGCCACCACTGGGCGGCCCTGCTTGTCTCTGGTGCTAGCTTAAGAGTAGCAGGAGGGAAAGAGGTGGAAGGGATCCTCTCCAGGAAGACAAGGGGACTCCCTATCCAAGCCCCCCATGGGTTTTCCCCAGGCCTAGCAGGGTCTGCCTAGGGCAGGGTCTGCGCCACCTTGTGGGGCCAGGGTATGAGGGGAATGGCATGGGAGGGGGGGCTGGGTTCCAGGGCCCTTCACCTCCTGGTAGGTGCCACACAGAGATGCAGGCCAGCCCACTGACTCACAAAGAAAGGAAACCACACACTAGGGGTGGACATGGGGGTGCACACATGTTCTCCATGTGCTCACACTCACATCTGTGCGCACACACATTCTCCACATGCACATGCTCACATGTGTGCACACACCTTTTCCACATGCACATTCACATGGGTGCACACACACACTCTCCACATGCTCACACTTTCATGGGTGCACACATACTTCCACATGCTTACACACTCATGGATGAGCACACACCTTCTCCACATGCTCACACTCTCATGGGTGCATACACACATTCTCCACATGCACATTCTCACATGGATGCATACGCACATTCTCCATGTGCTCACACTCTCATGGGTGAACACACACCTTCTCCAGATGCTCACACTCTCATGGGTGCACACACATATTCTCCACATGCTCACACTCTCATGGGTGCACACACACTCACACACACACTAAACCTTGCAGGTGCAGAAAGTTCATGGTCTAGTCCCCTCTCCAGGAAGACAAGGGGAGTCCCCATCCAAGCCCCCCATGGGTTTTCCCCAGGCCCAGCCCACTGTCCCAGGTCCCTCCTGGCCCAAACCACAGGGCATGGGCAGGTGTGGGGAGGGACCAGACAGATAGCTTCTACCAGAACTCCTCTCAGCTTCTGTGTGGGGCCTCCGGCAGAGGAGAGGGGCTGGGGGAAACAGAATGGAAAGGGCAGTCTTATGTCCACCTGGGACAAAAGGCACCAGGGCCCCAAAAGGGGGAAGCAAGAGCCCTGCTCTTGTTTTAGAGACCTTCTGGGCCTCCCCAGGGAAGCTGGACTTTGGGCTACCTTCCTCTGTTCCCAGGGCCAAGGTGGGGGGAGAACTCCTAATGACCCTGCCCACTGATCCCCTCTCAAAGGTCCAGTCACCCAAGGGCAGCGGGGAGAGCAAGGTGTTGACAGGGGAAATGCTGCCATAGTTAAGGTGCCCCAGTCACCAGGGACCCAGGACCTGCTGAAGAAGGAGCTTCTTAAGGAGACCAGGAAAGGAGATTCAACTGACAAGGGGCTGAACCAGCAGATAGGTGGATGGACCTTAGGACATCAGATGGATGAAAGGATGCACAGATAGATGGAGGATTGGTGAATTGATGGATGGATGAATGGATGGATGGGTGGATGGATGGATGGATGGATAATGGATGCAAGATGGATGGATGATAGATTCAGGATGGATGGATTGATGAATGGATGGATGATGGATTGTGGATAGATGGATGGATGAATGGGTAGATCAGTGGGTAGATCAGTGGGTAGATGGATGATCCATGGGTGAGTGGATGGATGGATGGATAGATGGATGGATGGACGATGGATGGATGATGGATGCAGAATAGATGGATGATGGATGGAGAATGGATGGATGATGGATGGATGGATGGATGGATGAATGAATGATGGATGCAGGATGGAAGGATTGATGAGTGGATGGACAGATGAATGGAGGATGATCCATGGGTGAGTGGGTGGGTGGATGGATGGATGGATAGATGAATGGATGAATAATTAGATGAATCAGCATATGATAAGGTCCACATTCCATTTAGCATGGCAGCCTATGCCCTAGGATCCTGAAGCCAGCAGAGCTGCCTGGCCTTCACCGGGCCCTCTTTAATGCTCCTGTAGCTCATCAGCTACACTCCCTGGGAGAGCGACAGAGGGCCCTGGTCACACCCACCCAGCCCTCAGCATAGGAACCACAGCCCCAGATCCACGCCTCCAAGTGTGGCAGCTGGAAGGTGGGCTCGGCTACCGCTCCAGCCCCTTCAGGGCCCAGGCTGGCTCAGCCTGAGAGCAGGGGCATGGCAAGGACACAGATAGGCCTTGGGCTTGAGCTCTCCTTGGAGCAGCAAAGACAGTGCCCACCCTCCTGCCCTGCCAGCTCTGACTCCCTAAGGCGGGTCAAGACCCTCCCAGACAGACCCTGTGGGCATCTCCAGAGCCACCATGGCCCCAGCCCCTTCCCTGGGGACCTGCCACCTCCTCTCCCAGGCCACCTTGCCTGTGAGTTAGGGACCACACTACTGCACTCTGACCCAAGGGTGCGGGGAGGGCAGGGCGATGGCTCTGCCCACACCCATGGAGGCGCCTGCCTCGCAGGCGCAGGCCTGACGCTGTGAGTGTCTTGCAGGCTTCCAGGAGTGGCTTCACTGTGTGCTGATAGACCAGCCCCAAGACGACCGGGAGGAGGATGCCCCAGGAGCCAGCCTGTGGCCCACCACGGTCACCCTGCTCACCCTCTTCCTGCTCAGCCTCTTTTACAGCACAGCGCTGACTGTGACAAGCGTCCGGGGCCCACCCAGCAGCAGGGAGCGCCCCCCGTTCTGAGCAGGAGTCAGCCAGGTACAGGTGGGGGCAAGGAGACAGTGTGGTGGGCTAACGTGGCATGGGGTCCCTGACTAGCAGGGAAGCAGATGCCACGGGGGGTCTGGAATCAGAGGGAGGCAGTCCCTCATGAAGGAACATCGAGGACATGGGCAGGCCAGGCCCAGAGCGCAGATGTCCGTCCTAAAGGGTCAGGGAATCTGCTTCCCAGCCAGTGCATTCACTGCAGGTTCCATCCAGTTTGCCCTGAGCCAGCCTGGGGTGGGGGTGGGGCATTGGCCATGACCCTGCCCCCTCAGGAGCTTCCCCAAGCCTGACTCTCCTGTGTTTGCAGGAAGAAGCATGGAAGAGCCTCCCAGAGCCCAAGCAGACCCCAGAGCCAAGCCCAGCTGGAAGCACCCGCCCATCCCCACACAGCCTTCCTGGCACAATAAACTGTGACAAGCACAGAACTTCTCTGACTCTGAATGAGGGGACGGTGCAGGGGCCGGGGTAGGTTTCGGGGATTAGCGTACCATCCTCATGACCCAAGGCAGGTTCACAGTGAACATGGAGACGGGGCCCCCTGCCAAGGCCTCCAGACCAGTTCCCGTATAAGGCACAGATGTGAGCAAAAGCAGGTCTCACCAAGGGGAGTGTAAACAAAACCCTCACAGGAAGTGGGCCCAGCTCCCTGGTCCTTGTCATGGGCACTGGGTCTGATCACTGGGCCCCAGTCCTTGTCACTGGGCCCTGTCCTGATCCCTGAGCCCTAGTTTTAATCCCTAAGCCCCAGTCCTGATCCCTGAGCCCTGAGCCCTGAGCCCTGAGCCATGAGCCCTGGTCCTGGTCACTGAGCCCTGGTCCTCATTACTGAGCCCCAGCCCTGGTCTCTGGGCCCCGATCCTGGTCCTGGGCCCCAGTCCTGGTCTCTGGGCCCTGGTCCTGATCCCTGAGCCCTGGTTCTAAGCCTGGTCCTGATCCCTGAGCCCTGGTCCTGAGCCCTGGGGCCTGGTCCTGAGCCCTGGGCCCTGGTCCTGAGCTCTGGGCCCTGATCCTGAGCCCTGGGTCCTAGTTCTGAGCTCTGAGCCCTGAGCCCTGGTCCTGGTCCTGGGCCCTGGTCCTGATCCCTGGGCACCTGTCCTGATCCCTGAGCCCTGGTCCTGATCACTGGGTCCTGGTTCTGAGCCCTGAGCCCTGAGCCCTGGTCCTGGTCACTGAGCCCTGGTCCTGACCACTGGGCCCCCATCCTGAGCCCTGAGCCCTGGTCCTGGTCACTGAGTCCTAGTCCTCATTACTGAGCCCCGGTCCTGGTCTCTGGGCCCCGCTCCTGGTCTCTGGGCACTGGTCCTGGTCACTGGGCCCCTGTCACTGGGCCCCTGTCACTGGGCCCCTGTCACTGGGCCCCGATCACTGGGTCCCAGTCCTGGTCCCTGGGCCCTGGTCCTAGTCCCTGGGCCCCGGTCTTGGTCACTGAGCCCCGGTACTGAGCCCTGATCCCTGGTCCTGGTCTCTGGGCCCCGGTCCTGGTCCCTGGGTCCCGGTCCCTGGTCCTTATCACTGGGCTGTGTCCAGGTCTCATTTCCACTTGCTCTGCCTCTGAATCCCTATTGTCATCCTGCATCACTTTATCTCATCCTAAGTCTGGCCACCACACCCTGGGTCTGAGGACTAATCCTCTGCAGGAAGTGACCCACATGGGGGACAGGGAGGCTCTCAGAGATCCTTCAGCCTCTTGGTCTGGGCACTGGATGGAGGATGAAGGGATCGCCACCACCTGGCCTCGTCCTCTCCAGGTGTCCAAGGGCTGTGCGGGTGCCAGGCCCAGGAGGCCTGAGCCAGACCTGCCCCTGAGGGTCTCCGGGCACAGAGATTACCCGGGGCGGGAGGGGTATGGTGCAGGGAGGAGGGGGAGGCACGGGTGTTTGTGTTCTCTTGTTTTTCTCAAGGCTCCGGTGCCATATCACCTGCTGAAACTTCCAAAATTACCCCGCAAGCCGCTGAGTCATTGTGAGCCCGCCGGCCAGGTGTCCTAGCCAGAGCTCTCCGTGCCGAGGTCTTGCCCAGAACCGAGAGCTGGCCAGGTGCTGGGCCAGGGCCATGGGCCGGAGCTTCGAGCAGGAGGCCCCAAGGCCTGCAGAATGCCCCCACCCACAACAGCTCCCACAGAACAGGCTCAGCCAGGCTCACCCAGACCAATC